CTGAAGAAAGGTCTAGACCCGAAACGTCAGCTTTCCTGCTCCTCTGATGCTGCTTGGCCTGCTGTATTCATCCAGCTCTACACCTTGTTGTCTCTATTTATATCCATTGCTCCTGATGTGGTCTTCTGTATATCAGGGAGACCAAACGCAGACTTGGGGATTGGTTCGTGGAGCATCTGTGCTCTGCACACACCAACCAACCCGACATACCGGTTGCCATCCATTTTAATTCCCCCTCCCACTCCCCTGGTCACATGTCCATCCTTGGCCTCCTCCACTGTCAGAGGGAGGCCAAACATAAACTGGAGGAACAACACCTCACATTTCGCCTTGGGAACTTACAGCCCAATGGCCTCACCATTGACTTCACCAGCTTCAAAATCCCTCCGCCCCCAGCCTTATCCCATGTCCAGCTCACCCCTCCACCTCACCTCCCTGACCTGACCTAACCTGTCTATCTTCCTACTCAACTGTCCGCTTCATTCTTCCCACGGACCAAGCACAATAACTCCCTACCTGCATCCACCTATCACCATCCCACCTACCCTTGTCCCAGCCCCACCCCTCCTCCCTCTATTTATTTCTGGGCTCCCCTCCCCGTCCCCAGACCTGACAGCCTGAAACATTGACTTTCCTAATCCTCTGATGATATCTGACCTGCTGTGCTTTTCCAGCCTCACATCTATAGAATCAGAAAATTGGCCCTTTTCAGATACTGTGCGAGTTTGTTCGTGGAAGTGATAGGGATCGTACCAACTGATTAAGCAGCTAGGAGAGCTCCACATCACTTCCTTTCTAGGAAGACCCACCAATTTAAGCATGAATGAGGATCGCAGGAGTCAAAATCCAAGCCTCCGAAAGGTGCTGGCCAATCAGGGCCCACAACTACACATTGCTCAGCAGCGCCCCCAGTAACCAGTGGCTGGATGCAGAGTCACAGGGAAGGGGCAGGCTCAGGAAGTCAGTGGCAAGGGGAGGGGTAGGTGGGCTGTCAGCAGGCCATTCCCCTCATGCTGCCTTTGAGTAGGAAAGCTTTGGAGGAGGGGACACACCCCCAACACATGTCCTCCCCACCTCAGACGTCAGCAAACAATCCCAAAAGGGATTGGCTTGTGGCCTTCCTTGATGGTGTGCCCCACCACCTGACACTGGGTGAAGAGCCAGCGGTTATTGGGGAAGCTGTTACGTGGGCATTAATTGCCCCCATTAGGGGCCTCATGGCCAGGCAGGGTACCTGTCCATGAACCTTTCCACCCCAGACTTAATCAGGACAGATGGCAGATTGTCCACCCACCCAGTTAAATGCCTCCTGAGGGGTGGTGGGGACTTTAATTTGACAGTGAGAGCTGGGGAAAATGATCTCTGGAGACACCCAGCACCATAACTGGCAGCAACTATTACTGTTTATCACCATGGCAATGCAAGGATAGCTCAAGCAGCAGAGCTCAAAAGGAATTGCTATCCCTCAATTTTATTCCAACGGCACTGGCTGACAGTATTTATAATCAGGTATAAAGTGGCAAGTCAGGCACAAATCAGGAAGGACCTGTTGTCTAAATATTTGAGACGTAAATACAGGCCATTGTTGTTCTCTTCTGTGCAGCCTGGATCCAGGAGAATGGGCTCTGATCTGACATATTCACATCTGACAAGGGCACTCAGTCTCCACTGTGACTGTGAAGCAGCACTGGCTATTTCAATCACGGCAACCTGACCTTGGTGGTTGGCCAGTGTTGGGTGTGTGTGTGTGTGTGTGTG